AGGGTCAGCATCTGGGATGACAGAGCTGTGCACAGACATCTCAACGGTGTTTCTGGAAGATGTCCAGATTCTTACCCACTGGCACCTCAGCTCCTCTCCAATAGCTCCATTCCCAAGTTTACTGGGGTCCTGGTTACTTGAGGCTCAATGGCCTCTGCTTCTGTCTTGATCTTAATGCAGTCTTCACTTCTCAGTGTTTTCTTTAGGACTCAGGTTTGTGTTCTCTCTCTGGCTCCAACCCCTTCCACTTGCCTAGTCTAACAGCCATAACCAAGCCTCCCACATGAATCCAAAGTGCCTCACATCCCTCTAGACCTGGGTACTCTTCCCTAAGGGAAGACTGGACATGAGGTGATGAAGTAAGACTGAATGAGAGCTGCTGGGACAGGCATTTTTCCTTAAGCTTTTCAGATGGGAGATATGCCCAAAGGAGAGAAGACAGAAAAAAATCTGTTGCAGGAGGTCCTTGGGGAGGTGGGACAAGACACAGGTGCAGCGTGGCCCTAGGTAGAAGAGAGATGCCTGTTTGTCTGAGGACAGAACTAGAGAGGCTTAAATGAAGGTTACTTTACAGCTAGGATAGGAAACTAAGTAAAATGATTAGTATAGTCATCTTAGGTGCCTGAAGATGTGAGTGGTTGATTTAGTTGACATTGATACAATTCTTAGGTTAAACTTCTTGTACCTCATCAGTTTTCACATATATTACCGAGTCTAATTCTTACAAATATGAGAGTTAACTATACACAGTCAAAGCATATTTATATACATGAAAACATCATGTTTTAAAAAAATATTTCATACATGCCATCTAATCTGATTTTCTAGCAATCATTGACGTTCATTATAATATATTGTCTACCCTTTTTATAGGCAAAGAAGTCAAGAGGTGCCAGGTATGGTGAGAACGCCTGGAATCCCAATACTCAGGAAGCTGAGGCAGCATGAGTATGAGTTTAAGACAAGATCTCAAAAAATGCACATATAAAATTATTATGCATAAGTAACATCAAATGTATATCAAGAATGTGAACATATAAAGAATTGGCTTTACAGGTCACTATTGCCTGAAGTTGCCTGCTGTCTGCCATGGCCAACCCACCTAGATCTTACACATCGACTGTTGAAAGTAGTTCTTGAGCTGTGTGTATACAAAGCATCAAAAATAGCTGAACATGTCCATGCTGAGCACTGAAGAGAAACGACCGGCTTGTAAAGGTTCCTGTTTTCACAGGCTTATTCTAGGCTTGACATGCGAGGGTGGTGGCTCCATATGCCACAGAATCACTGACAGCAGGCTCATTTATGGGAGAAATCCCAAAGCAGACAGGTCTTTACATCTTGTCCAGCATAAATGCTGGACTGAGCATGATTGGTTTCTAGCTTATCATCTGCACTGCCAAGCATAGGAAGTTGGATAGCAAGCATGCATGGGGTCGTGGGGACAATGAAAAGGCGCACGGACAGATGTGGTGAAGGCCATACAGATTGGGAGCTCAGAAATAGCAAGACCAGCAAGACCACCATGGCCACATGTGGGCAGCTCTAATACATCTCACCTGCACCTATCTTGGCTACCAGACCATTCCTTCTAGAGGCAGCTCGGGAGAGGGCCTCCCCTCCTGCTCACAATATCCTAATCTTTACTTTCACTGTAGCTCTTTGGGTCCCACATTTTCTTATTCCCATTCAAGTCTAGCGTTGCAGAGTTAAGTCCATGATTGCGAAACAGAAACTAAATAGTAAAAAGAGGGGGAAAAAAAAAGCAAAGAAAAAGTGAAATAATGCCAGTGGCCACAATGCTTTCGACTCTAATCTCCCAAAGTAACTATTATTTTAATGAGTCAAACTTGAAAACAGGTTTAAAAACATAGGGTCTTGTAAACAGCTGCTGTGTTGTTTATGACAGAGTGCTCCCTCTGATCTGCGAGGGGTTTTTGGGTGTTGGAGAAGGTGCCACATCCCCAAGTTGGGTGGGAGGTTGACCACTGCTCCACAGGGACTGAGGCCTGAAATCAATTGTGGAGTGCCAAGTGGTTTGCCCTACAACCTCATACTCGCCAAATTTTCATTTACTAGAATTCATTTTCTTGTCCTCCCTCCCTCAAAAAAAGTACACAAGACCTGAGCTTCTTAAATGTTTAATTAAATATGAGCAAAAATAGAGATTAGAACTGATCCCGACACAGTATTCCATTGATTTTAATCAAGCACACTGAGTCCATTACAAAAGAACTCACAAGTTCATCTCACTTATTTCTAGGGATTAAAATTATAATCTTTGTCCTTCATAAAATGTGTTGTTATTGGAAAGCCCGAAAATGCACGATCCCAGGTCCTTCAGCATTAGCCTTGAATATGATTTTCAGCTTTGGAGAGTTACATTAGGCCATACAATTTAATAGCTAACATTTGTTGAATGATAATCCTGTGCCAGGCTCTTTGCTAAGCACTCTGCATACATTAAGTAATGTAATCCTCATGACTCTTCAGGATGAGTAACTTTATCATCTGCCATTTGCAGATGAAGACCCTGAGTCACTCAGAAGCTAAGTGACTTTCCCTGTTAGTCAGCTTTGGGCAGGATTTGCAGACAGAAATACCATCTCAGTGGGATAACTGAAAGATCAAAACCCCTCTTGTATAACCTGGAGGTCACTCACAGGTGGCCTGGGTTTAGTAGGATATAATCCTGTGGTTTGTAATTAAATCAGGAATTTCAAACAGAAAGCAGTAAGACCTGACTAGTGTTCAGTGACAGTCCTTGGGGTTTCCTGCCAGTCACCAGGATAAGATCCTTCTTCCTCTCAAGCTCACAGTCTGTGGGACACTTGCATGACTTGGTCTAATTAGTGTCTATTCCTATGTAATTTATAATTACTGTGTAACTTTTCAGTTTAGATTTTGTTGTTGTTGAGACAAGTCTCACTCTGTAGCTCAGGTTGGCCTCAAACTCACAACAGTCTTCCCGCTCCAGCCTTCTAAGTGCTGGGAATACAGGTGTAAGTCACCACACTAAATTCAATTACAATGTAACTTAAGTGGACACAATTGTTATACAGTTTGTTATTTTTAAGCATTCAAAGTGTTCTCTTATGGTTGGGCATTTAGATTTTTTCAAGTTTGGAGCTAGGAAGAATAGGAAATATTCTTGTGAACTTTTTGGTTTCTACTAAAATATTTTATTAAAGTATATTTCTATTGTACAGTTATTAGGCCAAATGTATGGATATATTTATTGTCTTTTACAAGTTTAAGGAAGGTTTTGCTATTTATTTGGCAAATATTTATTGGGCACTTACTATATACTGGGTCCTATACTAAGCACAAATATAATCTCTTAATTCAAGAAACATTTCAATGTATAGTACTAGAAATGTAGACTTTTAGTTTTGGTATAAAATCACCAGCACCAAAAATTTAAAAGTTTTTTCACTCTGTTTTTTAAAAAATATGCATTCATGTCTGGATGTTTGCATTCTATTGTATATGAATTTTTGTATGTATGTAAATTCTTTTTGTATGAAGTACTTTTACCCAGTTTATAGTCTATTTATAAACTTATTTTCATCATAGAGTTGAGATTTTTACTTATCTCTTTATTTTCTTAGTTATCTTACATTTACTTTTATTATTTTGAATTATACTTGAATTTAAAATTTGGATGTATTTCAGTTTGTCTTTTCCCTTCTCACATCCTCTTGTTTTTAACTGAATGAACATTTTCCCACTAGCTCTGATAAACATTGTATTTTATGAGATTTTCTATAAGTAGATTTTAGGAAGGTTAGAGTTTTAAGATGACACTTTAGGGGCTGAAGAGATGGCTCAGAGGTTAAGAGCACTGGCTGCTCCTGCAGAGAACCCAGGTTTGATTCCCAACACCCACATGGCAGCTAACAACCGATTGTAACCCCAGTTCCAGGTGATCTGACACCCTCTTCTGACTTCTGTAGGCGTTTCATGATACCCGTGCACTTACACAAATGCAGGCAATACACTCATGTACATAAAATATTAAAAATATTATCCAATTTTTATGCAGTTGAAGTTACTTCTGGCTTCCTTTTGAATATATTTTCATTATCTGCATGCTTAAAATGTTATTTAAAAATTTTATTATTTTTATTTTATGTGTATGCGTGTATTGCCTGCATGTAGGTAAGTGCAACCATGTCGTGCAATGCCCGCGGAGGTCAGAAGAGGCTGTGGATACACTGGGACTGGAGTTATGGACAGTTGTAGCTGGCATGTGGGTGCTGGGATTCAAACCTGGGTCTTCTGCAAGAACCACCACTGTTCTTACACGCTGAGTCATCCCTCCAGCCCTCAAAAATGTTACTTTAGAATACAGTGTTTGCCTAGAATCCTTATACTGGGCTGGTTATTGGGGGATTACCTTTGTTCACGTTTCAAAATGTTACTGGAACTGAACCACATTCCATTCACGGGAACTGACATCTTAAGGCAACAGATTTAAACTTTTAGTTATACTTCTTGCTGGTGGTCAGACCATTCACAAGTATATTAACACCAAAGCCCAATTCCTCATCTGTAAACTGGGATAATAGTATCTCATAAGATCTTCAGATTTAAAAATTTTAAATTCATATAAGACATTTAGTCCATTTCATACCTAAACGACTTCCATTTATAATACCAGAAGCTTTATTACAGGGGAACAGCGGTTTACACTGTGAGACGGATGAACAGTGCTGCTTTTATACCAAGGTCCACCATGAGTGTCACCACGGTCACCTCTAAACGACGTTTAAGGTTTAAAGAAAACCCTGCAGGTCAGATCTCTAGCGTCTGGTACCTGGAGCTCCAGCAGAGCCCAGAGCCGGAGCGGTCCGTTGCCTAGGAGATGAGGGAGGGGCTGTTCTCGCGGAGGGTACAGCGCTTCCGGGGGGGGCGGGAGGAAGTGAAGGTGCGGCGCAGGACGCCCGTCTAGCAGCCAATCAGAAGGCGAGGCGCTCATTCAAATTGCGGCCGCCGCGGGAGCGAAGCTGGGCGTAGTGAGTGTTGGGGGACCCGGTGGAGGGGCTACTGGAGATCGGGCCCGCTGAGGGCCGAGGCTGGGGGCGCTGCGGCCCTTCCCTGCCGGCGGTGCTGCCGTTCGGAGCCGGGCGGCCGCCGAGGGTCCCGGCGAGGGGTGCGGGTCGCGCAGCTGTCCTCCCGGAAGCCGCCGGCAGGGCGGTGGGCGCTGAGGTACTGCCTCCGCCTCGCGCGACCAGAGCTTTGCAAATGGGTTTTGGTTGGAGTAGAATTTCCAAGACTTCTTATAGTAGCGAGTTCTATTGTTTTAGTTGAAAGTTTGACGGGAGATGCTTATAATTGATTGGACTATTTGCTTTTGTAATGATGCTTCATATCAAATCTTAAAAGACTCTTAAAAATAAGCTTCTGTTCATTTGTTCCTTGATAGTAATGATGTCCGGAATAGTTTGAACCAGTCATTTTATAAGGTAGACTTGGGCATGCGAATTTATAGGCTTGCTTACTTTTTTGAGGAGAGGGGTATCTTTTTGAGACAGGGTCTCCTTGTAGTCCCACCTGGTCTGGAAGCCACTCTGTAGACCAGGCTGGCCTCGAACTCATAGAGAGATCCGCCTGTCTCTACCTCCCAAGAGCTGGGATCAAAGGTGTGCGCCACCATACCCGTCAGACTTGCTTTTATGTAAGAGGCTTGATGAAGAGTTGGCTAGCAGCCAGGGTGGGCGCTTTCTTATTCCTGGCCTGTATTTACACACACTCTCGTCTAGTTTCTTGTACATAAGGAATAAAGGACTGGTAGTCGACTCATCTTTTTTTGGGGGGGGCGGGGGGGAGAAGGGTCTTGCTTTGCACAAGGCTGCCCTTGAAAGTTCCATCCTCCGGAAACTGAGCCTACCTAGTGCAGGGATTACAGGTGTGCACTATCACACCTGGCTACTTACCTAATCTTGCATTGTTTTTCTCAGCAAAAGCAATTACTTTATAGTACTTAATGCCTGTGGTACTTATTTAAGAATAATCTGCCTTGTGACTTCCTTTTAATCTCCTTGTGGTCATTCCTGTATTTAACATACATTCAAAAGTATAAAAAAAATTCTTTGCTGCTGACCCTGATTAGGTGCCAAGGTTTCTAAGCTGGGGGTGCTTGAAAAACATCTATGTTTTGACATTTTGACATTTCTTAAAGTCACTTGACTCCCATGCTATGACATACATCACCTGTGTGTTTGTTCTAGACTAAAGGAGAATGAAAGGTCTTGTCTTTGAAGTCTGCAGTATCTCTCAAATACCTGGACTGTAATGAAACCCTCAGTAAATATTTATTGAATAATGATTAGAAGTTCTTTGAGGGCAGAGGTTTGAAGCTACTTGGAGGCTAAATTGGAGATGGACATTGTGATTTATTGTAATAGATACCTCTCAGAATTTATTTCCACTGTGGCAGAACCTCTCTTTTTAAAGTTTGTACTAATCTTTTTTTTTCTTTTTGTTCTCCTCCTCTTCTTGTATAGTTGAGTGGATATTTTTGGAATCCGAAAAACACAAAATGGCTAGAAATCAAACAAGCATCCAAAAAAGCGCATAGATTCTTCACGTTCCTTTTTTTTTTAATGATCTTTTTACTTGTTGCCAAGATGTCGGTACACACTGTGCATAATAGATATAACAGTGATGTCCTTGAAGTTTCTTCTTCCCAGAAGAGTTTACAGAGTGTCCTCGAGCACAGCAGCCGACTTAAACTGCATCTGAAGTCAAATACGTTAGAGTGTGAAAATGATGACCCATTATTGAGATCTGCAAGTAAAATAAGAGACATAAATAGCACTTACGTTATTTCTGCCTGTAAAAAAACAGGAGATATATCTCTTACCCCTAACCCTGGTAGACTGACCCTTCAGAGAAGGACTACACGGAACAAAGACTCATCTTTACTTGGTAGTGAGCTGGGAGACACAGCTGGAAAAACAGCAGATACAAGTCTTACATTACAACGCCGTCGTGCTAAAACAGATTCTGTGGAAAAGTGGAAAACAACCCAAGGAGATATGCTTGAAACAACAAGTAATGTGGGCGGTAACACAGAAAATAATTGTGCTTCTCAGGAAACCAGGACAAATGTAAAGCTAAATAATAGAAACACTTCTGTTGCTGCTTCAGCAGTTTTAGACTCAAATGATGTTGGAATGATGGTTGATGAGAAATGCAAAGACACGTTTTCTGCCTTCAGTAGAGCCGATGAACATGGTGCAGTTAAGCACTCAAACAGTAGAGCACCTATTGTCTCCCGGGGCCAGCCTGAAGTTGTTAGATCAGGACATTTCGTAGTCAAACCTACTGAGAGCAAGCTGGATATCAAAGTGTCAGGAGCAGGAAACTTACACCATGGAAGTTTTGGGAAGGACGTGGCAAAAAATTCAAATAAATTTGGAAACTTAGAAACAAGGACCCCTGTGAAGTGTGTAACAGAACACAAACTGACACTAAAGCATGGCGTGCCTCAGCTTAAAAGCCCAGCCACATCAACACTGAAAAATAAGATGCCTAGCCTTCAAGCCAAGCAAAGGTCAAAAAGTTCTCTTCTTGTGAATAAAAGGGAAAAGCCACAAGGCGGTACACTCCCTCCAGAAGAAACTGCAGTTCAGGACACCTCCATAGAAACAGACCCTTTAAAAATAGAGAACAGTCAAGTAACAGTGGCTGTGCGTGTACGGCCTTTCAGCAAAAGGTATATTATGCATTTGAAATCTCAGGCCAAGTCAGTATGCTGTAATAATATCTTTAATTCCTTTGTATTTTTAGAAAGTCAGTGCAGTATTTATGTGTCTTCAAAGTTTGTATTTTCCTGTAGCAGGGGGTGTTGAACACAAGGCCTAATGTATACCAGGCAGATAGTCTACCTCTGAGGCATAGCTCTAGGTCCAGCACTGTTTAGGCTTAATTGTAGTGTATTGATTATTTTTATGATTGGCTACAAAAGTTAAAATCACTCTATTTTGTTTGTGTGTCTCTACATACATTGATTGTTTTTAAAAACTAAATGAGTTATTACTGAGTTCTGAAATCCAGTTTCCTTGTAAACTTGTGATTCCTGAGTAGGAGCTTCTATCTTTCCCTATAAAAAGCAATACATACTTATCTGGCAGGGGAAATCCCATGATCATGAAGGTGGTTTTCCCAGAATGAGGCTCATCTATTGCACTCTGAATGTGCTGACCCCTGCAAATTCCCCAAATGCAAGGAAACTGTACCCCATAATTTTTGTGGTAGAGGGATTTGTTTGTGCTCTCCCTTGTGGGGAGCGGGGCGGTGGGGTGGGGGGCGGCGGAAATACCAGGTCATGCCTTTCCCAAAGGTGTTTCTAAAACTTTTTCCAGAATGTGGTCATCAGCATCATCATCTGTGGTTGATACATACTGGTGATAAGTGGTTTTATCTTATTTGATTTTGATGACATGAAATATTTCTCCAAAGTTGATTGTGGTTGGAATAGTCACAGATTAGAGATAGGAATGCATAGGTAGGATTGCAAAATAGGATTAAATGTGAATGTGGAATAGAATTACTTTAAAATATTTTAAGGGAAGGCAGTAAAAATTTCACAGGATCCATAATTCTTAACGTGATGTTGTGTATCTAAGCAACTTAGGAGTAGATGTAGTAATCGCTGCTTCAGTGAAAGAACCCGGAGTTTGAACTGAAAGACTCAGTAGTTAGAGGCAAGTTGATAAGTGCTAGAAAGGCCTTTTTAGCAAAATTAGGCAGTGATAAGGGGAGAGAATTGCTGCTGAGGTGATTTGAGAATGTCAGGAAGTGTAACAAAGGCTACAAGAACCATCAAAGGAAAAGGTAATAGAACAGAGCTGATGGGGCAAAGTCCTAGTGGATGACTAGAACAGAAAAGACTTAGTACGGGACTGTGCTGGTTCAACACTCATCAGACCATCCCTGAAAGAAGGGAGGACGGAGCGACACTCATCAACTGATGAGGCAGATGGTTTTGAGGATTGATTACGTTTAAAAGCAGATTCTCAGGGAAAGGAGAATAGAAAAAGAGGCTGACATTTGGGGCCAGTGATAGTGTTTTTCTGGTGAGTAAGTGAAGGTTTTCCACCCAAGTCTGAGCTAGAAGGACAGATATAAAGACCCGAGGTTTTAAGAGAGAAACCAGTGGAAGGAGGGACCTTTGGATTAACAGTGATGCCTAGTAGTCAAAAGACACTTTGGTTTGAATTTACTTCAAGCTCATTGTAGTTTGTATTTATATTTTCTTCCAACTTTATATAGATTTTTTATCCACAAGCTTTATAATATAAAAAGGTGTTTCATGATTTGAATTGAAACCTATACATAGAATGGGAAGATGTCTAGTTCAAGAGAAAAGGAAAAAGGTTTTCTGAACAAGGAATTTGAAATTCCATTTTTCCTTTGGGTAGTGGCTCTGGAGCTACATAAAATATATTTTGGAAACCCACTGAACTTGGTTTCCCAATTTTCTACAGAAAGCTAAATAATTATCTTGCCTTGGAGGAATGATAAATTTAACAAGCTCAGACAGGCCCTTACATTGGAGATGGAACCCATAATAATGACAGTAACTTGACTTTTCTCTTTGTGCTGCTTCTTAAAGAGAGAAGATTGAGAAAGCATCCCAAGTTGTCTTCATGAGTGGGGAAGAAATAACTGTGGAACATCCTGATATGAAACAAGTTTACACTTTTATTTATGATGTTTCATTCTGGTCTTTTGATGATTGTCATCCTCACTATGCAAGCCAGACAACTGTGTATGAGACACTAGCGGCACCACTGCTAGAAAGAGCATTTGAAGGCTATAACACCTGCCTCTTTGCTTATGGTCAGACTGGCTCTGGAAAATCATACACGTAAGTTATATTGCTCATACAACTATCCAAAAATGTCTACTTTTTCTTTTGCAAGAAACAGCATTGTTGTAGAACGAATATAATTTTTGTTTAATTAAAAAATATTTATTAGTGTGTGTGTGAGTGCACGCATGTGTGCACACACATACATGGTTGTTTGTGCCACAGCACATTCGTAGAGGTGAGATGACAACTTTGTGGAGTTGGTTCTTTCCTTCTAAGTTTACATGATTTCTCGAGATGGAACTCAGGTTGTCAGGCTTGTGTGACAAGAACCATTACCCACTGAGCCATCTTGTCTGCCCAAGATTATAGTTCTGAAACCACACAGATCTTGGTACAGGCCTCATCCTTTATACTAGTTCAGCAAACTTAGGCAGGTAACTGAATCTCTGGGCTTTAGTTTACATATGAGGTAATTTACCTTATAAGTGTCATTGGCTCTGTTTTGATGTAACTTAATATTTCTTGTGTAAACTAAAGCTTAGAGAAGGAATCTTGTATATATTACTATGAGAATTAATAATAAGGCATCTGTGCTGGATAGCTTCAGTTGTCAACTTGACACGTGGGAAGAGGGGACCTCAATTGGGGAATTTCCTGTATAAGATTGACCTGTGGGCATTTTCTTGATTATTGAGTGATGTGGGAGAGCCCAGCCCACTGTGGGCGGTGCCACCCCTGGTCAGGTGGTCCTGAGTTGTATAAGAAAGCAGGCTGAGCACAGGCCAAAGGAGCAAGTCAATAAGCAGCATTCCTTCATGGTCTGTGCTTGGGGTTCCTGCCCTGATTCCCTGCCTGGTTTCCCTTGAGGATGGACTGTGTTTGTAAGACAAATAAACTCTTTCTGCCCCAAGATGGTATTGATCAGAGTGTTTTGTCACTAGTTTACCTTATAAGTGTCATTGGCTCTGTTTTGATGTAACTTAATATTTCTTGTGTAAACTAAAGCTTAGAGAAGGAATCTTGTATATATTACTATGAGAATTAATAATAAGGCATCTGTGCTGGATAGCTTCAGTTGTCAACTTGACACGTGGGAAGAGGGGACCTCAATTGGGGAATTTCCTGTATAAGATTGACCTGTGGGCATTTTCTTGATTATTGAGTGATGTGGGAGAGCCCAGCCCACTGTGGGCGGTGCCACCCCTGGTCAGGTGGTCCTGAGTTGTATAAGAAAGCAGGCTGAGCACAGGCCAAAGGAGCAAGTCAGTAAGCAGCATTCCTCCATGGTCTGTGCTTCAGCTCCTGCTTCCAGGTTCATACCTTGAGTTTCTGCCCTGGCTTCCCTCAAGGATGTACTGTGATCAGGATGTGTAAGTCAAATAAACCCTGTCTTCTCCAAATTGGTTTTGGTCAGAGTGTTTTATCATAGCAGTAGAAAGCAGGTAGAGCAGTATCTTAGTCTCTTTCTGGCATTTGGAAGATCCAAGATGTTAAAATTTTCTTATATTAACCTGTGTAAGCAAGTGTGACATCATTAGACCAAAACCTGGCTAGAAATGTTGGATTAGACAGCTTTCACATATATTCACTTTACTTTATACAAGTACCTGGTTTTATTTTACTGGAAGTAGAGTGGAGTTTTGTTAAAGATGTTTTAATGCCGACTTTAAGCAGGAAGGCTAAGAGAAAGAATTTCTCAGAAGGAAAGACAAGAAACCAGAGAACAGGGGTGTGCACTGCTCAGAGAAGTCACCAAGTACATGGTTTTATCAAAAAGAGTCTGTCTTGAAGCAGCTTAGAAAAATAAGACATCTGATAATGCAGTAGGGTAACTATAGTAGCTATGGTTGATAATAATAAGTTGTACATTTAAAAATAGCTCATAGAAATTTTGAATGCTTCCAACACAACAAAATATAAATGATAAATACTGAAGTGGTGTATCTACCAGTTATCTGATCTGTCCAGTACACGTTATATTAAGGTATTAAAAATACTACTGTATCCCATATGTATATACAACTACTCTGTGAATTCAAAAATTTCAAAAATACTAAAACAAAAGTAGGGCATCCCATGAATGGTGACTCTGGTAATAATTCCTGTCCTAGAAGGGAACATTCAGGATTTTAATAGTAGCTGACATTATTGATAAAGTCTTTGCTTATACGCTCTCACAGTAACCCTCTCAACTAAATACTTCTGGCATTCCCATTTTAAAGAAGAAGAAACTGAGGTTTAATAAGGTTAAGTATCTTGTCTGAGGTTATAGAGCTAACTGGTAGAAATAAGATTTAAGGCTGGGAATGTTGGTAGAATGCTGGCCTGATAGTCACAAAGCCCTGTGTTCAATCCTTAGCAGTGTATAAACAGGTCATAATAGCTCATACCTGTAATCTCAGAACTTGAGAGGAGAGTCAGAAGTTCAAGGACTGGGACTATAGCTTAGTGGTAGAGCACTTGCCTAAAATGTGCAAGGTTCTAGGTTTAGTCCCCAGTACTGCAAACAAGCAAACAAAAAACTCTAAAAATAGGGGCTGGAGAGATGGCTCAGCGGTTAAGAGCATTGACTGCTCTTGCAGAGGACCTGGGTTCAAGTCCCAGCACCCACATGGCGGCTATGAACCATCCTTAACTCCAGTTCCAGGGGAACCTGAAGCCATCTTCTGACCTCCATGGCATTGCATGACATAGGTGCACTCACATACATGCAGGCAGTATACTCATGCATATAAAAAATAAAAGTAATAAATAAAATATTTTAAAAAACCTTCCAAGTCTTTTAAAAAAAAAACTCTAAACAAAAAGCAAAGTAAGTTCAAGGCTACATCATGAGTTTTGAGGCCAGCCTGAGAAAGAATTAAGATTTAGATTAAGGCAAATTTGATTCCAGAGCCTTGATTCTTAGATATTAACCATGAATTTTTATTAGTTTGTTCTCTGTTCCTTTCCCAGTCCATTTCCTCTAAATACCTTTTAAAATCTCTAGACTGATCAGTGTTTCTTTCTCTTCTTTCATAATGTATTTTCTAGGATGATGGGATTTAATGAAGAACCAGGAATAATTCCAAGATTTTGTGAAGATCTTTTTGCTCAAGTAGCCAAAAAACAAACCTCTGAGGTATGTTCAAATTCAAATCAGAATTATGACCGTTAAGGAAATACCTATTTCAAAGTCTAAAAGTTAGTGTTCTTTCTTCTAGGTCATATTCCTTTGGTATAGTGTGGAAAGAGAGGGGATTGTGGGGCGGCTTCCAAATTAAGAAGCAGTTCTTTATGGTGGGCAGTGGTAGAGGGGCAAACTTTCTCATATCTACCTTTTGCTGTTCAGTTTGGTTTGGTTTGATTTAGATAGGGGTCTTGCCCAGCTCATGCTGGCCTTTTAATTCTCAATTCTCTTGCCTCAGCTTTCTGAGTGCTGGAATTACAGAAATGTACGAGCATACCTGGCTCTTTATTTTGTTTTTCTCCTTCTGTGTATGTGGTGGCTCACAATGTAGTGGTTATATACTCTTTTATGTTTCCCTGTAGTCACGTAGGTACATAGACTTAAAGATAGCAACTCTTAGACAGCTTGAAACAGGAAGGGTAGTGAAACCAGAGCAGGAGCACAGACTCAACTTTACAAGCCATGCCATACCACACCTGAATAGTTTGCTGGCTTCTCTTTCCATTGATTCATTTTCATATTCTGGAGGTTTTTGCTGAGTATCTGCCATGCCTACTGGACTATTAGATTAGTTTTTCCTCAAAGTTGATTGATCATGAGAATTACCAGTGTATTATTTACGTTTCTGTTGCTGTGATAAAACACCATGACCAAGGCAACTTATAGAAAGAAGAGTTTATATGGTTTACAATTCCAGAGGGGAAGAGTCCACAATGGCCGGGGATGCATAGCGGAACAGAAAGCTGAGCACTTGCATCTATCTTCAAGCAGGCACAGGAGGCAGAGCCAGACTGGAAATCCAGCAAGGCTTCAGAACTCTGGAAGCCTGGCCTCAGTGACGTGCTTCCTCCATCATGGCCACACCTCCTATAAAGGTTCTGTGACCCTCCCCAGACAGCACCACAAAGTAGGGGATCAAGTGTTAAATACTTGGAGCCTATGGGGAACACTCATTCAAATCACCACAACCTCACCCTTCCCTAACTACCTCTCAAAGGCCTTTCCTCCAAATAGTAGCAATATAAAAATTTGGGGATTGTTTCCAAGCATTGGTGAATACTTTTAAATCATAGCAAGCAGGAAAGTGAGTGAACAAAGAGAAGTTTCTTAAAAGAGGGAGGAACTGAGTTTGCCTCTGAAGACACATATAAGTTATTAGCTTGGGAAAGAAGATATTCTAGGCAGAGGGAGTAGCTGGTACAAAGATATGAGGGTAAGAAAGTAGGGAGCCTTTGGGAATCTAAAATTGTTTATTTGCTTTGAGCATGGAATTTGAGTGTGGAGAGCGGCAAGAGATGAAACCAGAGAGGCAGGCAGAACTTGGCTCACGAAGGACTTCATAAACCAGGGTTTCAGAAGCTTGAGGCTATGGAAGGATTTTCATTAGGAAAATAACATTCATGTTTATTCTTCCAAAAGAAAATATTCTACTTTTTTTTTTCTTTTCCATTTCATTTCATGTGTTTGAGTGCTTGCATGTGTATAATGTGTGTTTGTACTTGTGTGAATGCTCATGTGTATGGATGTATGTGCATGTCTACATGCTTATGAAGGGCCAAGGTTGATGCTGAGAATCTTCCTCCATCATTCTTTGATCTTTTGAGGCAGGGTCTCTCAGTCTAAGGCAGCACTCACCAATACATCTGCTGTTGCTAGCCAGCTTGCTCCAGGGATCTCCTGTCTCTACCTTTCAAGGCTGGAATTATAAGTAGGCCACCATGCCCAGCCAGTATTTACATGGACTGGGGATGCTAACTCTGGTTCTTCAGCTTGCATAGCAAGCACTTAACAGCAGAGGCATTTCTCCAGCCCTTGATTTATTTTTTAAGTAACATAAAAAGTAACAGATTTCCCCACGCGTGGTGGCGCACGCCTTTAATCCCAGCACTCAGGAGGCAGAGGCAGGTGGATGTCTGTGAGTTCAAGGCCAGCCTGGTCTACATAGTGAGTTCCAGGACAGCTGGGGCTACAGGGAGACCCTGTCTCAAAAAGACTGAGAAAAAAAAAAAATAAGTAACAGATTTCTTTATGGCATTTTATATATTCTTGGTTTTGGCTGATCTTCATATTTACTCTTTAAAAATAAAACAGAGGGGTTGGAGAGATGGCTCAGCAGTTAAGGGCACAGACTGCTCTTGCAGAGGACCCGGGTTTGATTCCCAGCACCCACATGGCGGCTACGAACCGTCCTTAACTCTAGTTCCAGGGGAATCTGAAGCCCTCTTCTGACCTCTGTGTCATTACATGACACAGGTGCACTCACATACATGCAGGCAATACATTCATACACGTAAAATAAAAATAATAAATATTAAAAAAATAGAAAAAGTCTTGACTGTAATATGGAAAATGGAATGAAGGGAAATAAGACTAGATGTAAAAGATTGGCTGTGGGACTCAAGCTGGATTAAGTCAGACAAGGTATTGACAGCAGCTGTGGGTGAGGGAGTACACACTTGAGCATAGTAAGTAGAATTGGTAAGAATTAGTAACTATTGGAAATGGAGAGGGGAAGGAATCAGTTTCTGATTGGATAGCCAGAGTGAATATTAATGGCATTTGCTGAGAGCATGAAGGGAAAATAGAATTAAATATATGATGAGTTCTTTCCCCTTTGTGGAAGCATTGCCTTCCTCCTGCTCTCTTCCTCCTCATGCCAGTAATTGAATGGAAAATGAGAAAAGAAAGAGAAGCGTGTGGCCTGAAAACTGGCCTTGAAAGATGAAATATGATTCAAGCCAAAGTTCAGTGGGACTAAGAATGTGGAACCTGGGGGCTTTTTGAAGGGTAGAGTTCTCTATTGGTTGATTAGGATTTTAGAATCATTTGAAAGTAATGGAAGTCAGGGAAGGATAGATGAAATGAGAGTTTGAATTCAAGGTTCATTGCTTGAACACTTCATGTAACCTGTCTCTGTTTCAGCACAGCCAACAGGGGTGATGGTGATAATACTTGACCCATGGGAAAGGCACATAATGAGTCACATTAAATGATTGTGTCTGTGTCAACACTGAAATTATTCATGATGATACAGGTGAAAAATATGTAGATAAGGGTAATTGGAGGTGGTGTAGGCAGCACGGTGGGGGCAGATTGCAGGATCCTCAAAGGGGTAGGGGTGAAGTAGGTTTCTTCATGATGTGCCCTAACTGCTTTCCCAACTCATTCCTACTACATTTTCATCTCTAAGTCCTTTGAAACTCCCATAAGAATATACTGTTTTATATAAAATTGACACTGATGACCTTTGGATCTTGTGGTAGTCCCACATAATTTGGTCTGTACCTGCACATGCCCTTAACTGCCAAACCATCTCTCTGGTACCCCTCTATTTTTGCACGTTTATTTATTTTTATTATAACCGTCCTAGTGTGTATGAAATGGTTTCTCATTGTGGGTTGTATTTACATTTTCCTACTGACAAATGATGTTGAGAATCTTTTCACGTGCTTGTTGGCCATTTGAATGATTTTTGGAGAAATGTCTGTCCAAGTTCTTTGCCCGTTTTTTAATTATATTATCTTTTTTATGTTGGTGCTAAAAGTCCTTTATATATTCTATTTACAAGATCCATATCAGGCATATGATTTGCAAAACATGCAAAGAATTTTAAGGTAAACTGAATACTTTGTTTCTATTTCTACTAGGTCAGCTACCAACTTGAAATGAGCTTCTTTGAAGTCTATAATGAAAAAATTCATGACCTTCTGGTGTGTAAAGGTGAAAATGGACAGAGAAAACAGCCAGTAAGATTTAAATAATTCTTACTGCATTTATTTGTTTAAGTGGGAGGTACATGTGCATGCCGTGTGGCCTGTATGTGGAGGTCAGAGGACAACTTGCGGGAGTCAGTTCCCTTCTACCATGTCAGTCCCAGGGATTGAACAAAGGTCTTCAGGCTTGGTGGAAAGTACTTTTACCAGGTGAACTGTCTCTCTGGCCCTTAAGCAATTTATTAGTATGTGTGTGTGTGTGTGTGTGTGTGTGTGTGTGTGTGTGTATGTATGTGTGTGTATACTTGTGCATACGCACATGGCCACATCATGTATGTGGAAGTCCGAAGACAATTTTTTGGAGTTCATTCTCTCCTTTAGTTATGGATTCTGGGGATTAAACTCAGGATAGCAGGTTTGGCAGCAGGAACTTTAACCTACTGAGCCATCTTGCCAACCCTCAATAATTTAATAATAGTTTAAAATTTCTGTTTATATAGATGCATATAAGTGTGTGAGCTCTTACATTATTACTGAAACATTTGTGTGTGATAGAAATCACTTGGTAGCTCCAATCTAAGTATATTGTCATTTAAAATATTTGAACATCAGCAAAAATAGAAATTAAATTAGTTGAGATTTATTATTTTTTTATTTTAATCAAGTACTGTCTAAAAATTAAAAATAAAATATTTGCCCCAGGATTTAGTAGAATTATGTTAAGGCAAACATGGAATCTCTTATAGTCTGTAAGCCAAAGCACATAAAAGTTTGTAAATTTTTATTTTCATTATAGAATATGTGTTTCATTTGACTGTTGTTTACATCCTTTGACCCTGGGTCTCTCATTGGCCTGGAGCTCACCAGTTAGGCTAGATTGGCTGGCCAGTGAGCCCCCATTCTCCTGTCCCCATCTCCCTAGTGCAGGTTTCCAAGTGTGCCAGGCGTTTTATGTGGGTTCTGGGGTTGAACTCAGATCCTCATGCTTGTGAGGCTAACCCTTTCTTGACTGAGTTATCTCCCCAGCCTCTATTTGTTTGATATTTTGCAGGTAACCTGTGAAATAGATTTCAAGGGTTTTTTTTTTTTTTTTCTTAAATAGTACAATTACACTTGAAGTCTTAATTTTGTGAAGGATCTCAGAGTACAAGAAATGAAAATCTAAAATCATGCCTAATGTCATACAGTTTACCACTGATAGATAACATTGAGAAACTTGTCATTTTCTTCTATTATTTCTATGCATTTAAACATTTCTGCATAAAGTTTAAAATATAAACATAGATGAAAAATTTAAATGAAATTTACAATGAATGTTTTAGAAAGACTTAGCAGCAGATTAATAATAGCTACTGCAGGATTTAACTTAAGAATAAAAAAGTAAGACATTTGATGTACAGCCTATGGTTGTTTATTAATCAGCCATAAGTAACTTTTGGTTATATGTTTCTTAGTGTCTTACAGATTTTTATGAGAGCCTTTGTATTCTTTTCTGGATAAAGATAAATATCTCCCTGAGACTTGAAATATAGAACAAGAAAGATTGTATTTTAAATTGTATTTTCTGTGAAATCCTTGTCTTAGTCTTAAAGATGCTAAAATTTGCTTCCTCCAGCTGAGGGTACGGGAGCATCCTGTTTCTGGACCGTATGTTGAAGCACTGTCAATGTAAGTGTCTGCTTAGCCAGAGCCAGGGCAGAAACCAGATTGGCCTGAGAGCATGCTCTCATGATCCGCATCATACTCCTATTTGCCTTCCCAGCTTGAAACCCTGGGTAACTGGCCTGCTAACCTTAGACTTACCCAATGAAAATTTCCCTCTGTATCCAAGAAGGGTGTGTGTTCTTTGCTTTTGTACTTGTCTTCATCTTTCACAGTACATATAAAGTGCCTGACGTACAGGGTATTGACTAAACTGAGTATGAAATATAGATCTCCTTTTTACCTCTTCTTTCCTGCGTTAAGTTAGAACCTTTTCAACTTTTTATATATGTTACAACTTTTTTGTATCTGTTATATCTTGTTATCTGTTAACAGGGGGGAAGGTGCTGAATTACGAGTTTTATGCATGTGGTTAAGAGCGCTGACTGCTCTTGCAGAGGACCCAGGTTTGATTCTCAGCACCCACGTGCTAACAGCTGTTTGTGCAAACAACTGTTTGTAACTCCAGTTCCAGGGGATCTGATGCCCTCTTCTGACCTCCATGGGCATTGCACTTCCATGCATGTAGGCAATATACTCATACACATAAATAAAATAATAAAAATAAAATTAAAAAAAGAACGATCTTTTTTCACTTTCTCATTTAGCATTCCAGTTCTTAAGGAGAGGAAAGTGGTTCTGTATAAATTCAGCTCTGGGATTCTGTCAGAACTGTACATCTCCACACCCACACATATGCATGCCTATGCATATACATACAAGTTAAAGTCTATCTTTTGGTTTTATGTAGTTGAATATTATACTGCTAAGATTTCAACATACTTTATTAAGAAAAAAAATCATACTTTTTAGTAAAGTTAAAGCATTATCTTATTTTCTGTTCTTTAAGAAATGAAAGATTTAGGGAGAATTAGTTTAATAACATTTCCTAATTTGTTGTGATTTTCAGAGAGAAATTATATATTGGAAGATTATTAATTTAAGAACAAGAGTAAAATCATCAGTAAAACTGATTTTGTCTTTTTACTTCTTAAATAGGAATGTTGTCAGTTCTTACTCTGATATTCAGGTAAGATTGGTTATATTTTGTTTTATTTTAACTAGATAGAGCTATAACTATAAGAATATTCTCAATTGTTGCTTGCATGGAGTAAAGGCTAATCTTGTTACACATTGTGAGACTGATTGTGCATGTTAAACTTCAATCAAAGTAGTTGCTCTTCTGAATTAAAATATTGGACATCTTGTCACTTTAGAAGTTTAGAAATAGCTTTTTTAAGGGTATTATTTCCTGGTACAGGTTTCTGTGACAGAAACAGACAGAAGAAACAACAAAAGAGACAATGGCAATACAAATTTCTTTTTAAACTGTAGAATTTCATACATGCATATAAGGTATTTTGATCAAATCCATGCCCACTCCCTCCCCTCCAACACCTCCTATCTTTCTATCACTATGTACTTTCCTTCCCTCCTTCCCTCCTTCCCTCCTTCCTTCCTTCCTTCCTTCCTTCCTTCCTTCCTTCCTTCCTTCCTCTTTCTTTTGTTCTTTCTTTCGTTCTTTCATTTTCTTTTGTTCTTTCTTTGGCTTTTTGCTACTCTAACATTCCCCCCCTCTGAAGAGGTAACCCTAAAATCTTTTAGGGATTGGATAAGTGCTCCCATTAACATTTTTGGCCTTTGGAACAGAGTATATTGCTAAGAGGTCCAGGGACATTTTGACTTTTAGCCAAGAAACTGGCTACTTTACTTTGGAGTCTTTTTACCCTAACTGCCTGGCCAATTCCTACCTCCTATTCTTTATCATACCATTCTCTGAAGAGGTTACGCAAATTATCGAAAGGGAATTGGGATGCAGATCACTCTGGCTTCTTCCATGCTGAATGAACAGGGATGCAGGGTGAGGAAATTGGGGGTACCCCTTCAGTGGGTCTATTTAAAAGACTCCCAAATTGCATAACTCTTATCTGTAGGGAGAAAAGAAGATCCTTGATTGGTGAATAGTGGATATAAAGGAGAAATAAAGGCAAGAGTAGTTAGCATTACAAGTTCTAGACCTAGACAGGGAACTAGAAAAAGGTCAGAACAGGGCAAATTTCAAATGTTCATATCAGAGTCCATTGGGATTTCTTGACAAGAGCTTCCAAAAGCATCTCTCCATTGGGTTCCTCCTCATTTTTCTTTTGTCTGCCAAGGCTGGACTCAAGAGTGATGGACTCAGGATTTGTTTTCAAGCACTTTGATAGCTGTTGGAGTAGCTAGAATCAGTGTCAGTTCCCTCTCAAAGGCTTCTAGATAGGGGGAGAAAAAAAATTTAGCCATCATTTTAGAACAATAGTGGGTTATCTCCCTTAGCTACAGGTGGGCATTACAGTATTGCAGACCAAGATTTGAAGTCTTACATCTTTGCAGCACTTTGTAATTAGAAACACAAACATCAATGAGAAATAATTGTCAAAATCATATTTTATATGGACTTAAGTCTAATGTCTGAGAAGTGAAATCCCTTGAACTCTTAAAGAAATATACTGATGACTTTACTCTTTGATTTACT